GTCGATGTCGACAGCAACACGACAGAACTATGACGGTTGGTGGGTATTCTTACGTCGGAGGAGCCACCCACACCCAGCCTCGCCGACAGCTCCGCCTTCGACCGCAAGCTTGACGTTTCCATCTTGGTGGCAAGGGCTCGCTTTTTATGCGCCATGGACGCGTTCAGCGCCGCATCCATTCCCATCCTGCAGTCGAACAACCCCTCCGATGTCACTTTCGAAGGAGGACCAGCAACTTATCGCATCCAAGTGTGCGTGTGTGTGCGCATGTGTCAAAGTCCCTCGCGGTATGCCCAACGGAAACTTGCCCAGATCCTTGGTTCTCAGCGCCATTGGAACAACCGGTGGGCTCGACGCACCGTGGTCGACACCCCGGGAGTGGTCACCCAGCCTTACATCGATGCGGACGAATCCGCGTGCCAGATCGAGAAGGAGCAGTTGGTCAAGAGTATCCGCAAGGCATGCTCCGACGCGTGCCCTCAGAAGAGGTTATTCGGCGACGTGTCCAAGGGCTGCGTGCTCGCGGGATGGAAGCCCATCGCCATGGTCACCCCGAGCCCTGGAGGCGCCCCCCCTTATGTTCAGGTGGCCTATACCGGTATGGTCGCGCAGGGCCTCGACAGGCCGACGATCCAGCAGAGCAGCGCGAACCTTCTGGCAGGGCCTGAGCGCCTATGCAGTGGTCCTAACATTCTGTTTGAAGCGCGGTGTCGCCAGCATCCTTCTCACTCTCCCATCCTGTTTGGTTCCTGAAGCGCTCGCTCTTCCTTCCATCGGTCCCGAAGCATTCGTGGCAGAAAATTCCACTCGCGGCAAGGGGGGCATCTTCGGCATCCAGGAGACTCGCGGGCGGAGGCCGTCATGCAGGGGACTCATCTACCACTGGCATCTCCCCGTCCAGGCTCGCTCTCCTTCCTCTGTCTCCCCACGCCGCTGGCGGTGTGGTTAAGTTACGTCTCGCCCGATTTCTATTGAAGCGGCTGTCTGGGCCCTGCCGCTCATGGAGGATCGAATGATCGGATTGCGTTTTCGGATGGGGCTCTGATTGCACCCCGCAACATTCACAATGCTGGTTTTATCAGGCGCCCAACGGGACCTCATCATACAGACTATCCAGTTGGACCTCGATTTGGCTTTCAAAAATCCGAATGAGACCCTTGCGATCGTCGGTGGCGACTTCAACGTTGCGAGCGCCCCTCCGATTGCAACGAACTCGTGCGCCCTTCTAACTCATGGGCAAAATCGGGACTGGCGTCGTCCTCGGGGCACTGTCTGGGAGAGGTGCTTTGGTGAGTTTTGCGAGATCGCACTCGACAAAGCCATTCACTTCCGCGCTGCGCAAGGGGCACTCAGCAATATCGATCGCTCGTTTGCTTCTGCCCCTGGGCGGTTCCTTTCGCAGTCCTGCGCGCGAGCTCGGGCCCGCGCCCCCCCTGAAGTGCGCTGACATGTCCGACCGCGCCGCGATCTCGCGCGCGCGCGCCCCCCGCCGGCCCGCCAGAGAGCGAGCCGCCCCGTTTGACATTTTCAAGGGGCCCGGTTTCGCCGCGAACGTCGGGAAGATGGCTGAGCAGGTGGTCCCGACTAATCCCCCTCTCTGAAGCTCGCGCTGCACGGGGAAATCGTGACCGAAGCCGCCAGGATCACTGGGGGCTCTATCGTCCGGGGTAAACCAGACGATCCCACTTGTTCAATTTTCTGTCTTGCGGATTATTTTCCGGGCGGCGCGGCGGGCTTTCCGCTCGCGCGGTGCGCCATGCGCGCTTGCCCGCAGGGCGAGAAGTTGTTGACCGTCAGTCCAACTGACAAGTCGGTTGTCTTGCTGGACGCGGGCGCGCTCGGGCAGGTGGCGGACCCCGCGCGCGGCAGGCTGTTCCAAGCCCAGAAGGGCCTTGCCTCGCGCCAGCTGCTGGAGACACCTTGCGACGTGCCCCGCTTTCATCCGAGGGCTCCAGAGACGTTGTCGGCCGCGAGCCCATTTCGACCGAAAACTGCGCCTCTGGGGGATCCGCCCAGCTGTCGAATCATCTTCCAACGACCGAGCTGTCGCCGGCCCGTCCGACATGCTCGCGGAGCTGGCGGCGCATTGGGGCCCTGTCTGCGGTCGGGCCGCCGCGATGTGCCGCGCGGAGCGCTTCGGCTCTTCCGAGCGCGCGAGCGACTTGCCCCCCCCAACGATTCACGACGTGGAAAGATATCTCCGGCGCGTGAACTCCAGCGCCCCTGGGTCCGACCAGCCCCCGCGCGACGCCTGGAAATCCCACGCTTTTGGAGCCAAGATCTTGGAGGAGTCACTTTCCTGGGCGCTGGGGGGAGGGCCGGTCGCTCCTGCATGGGGCCAGCGAGCTCCAGGGCGCCTTTCCTGCCAATGGCGACGAGGCCGACGGCGACGCAGATGCGACCAGGCATGCCAGCCAGACCCGACCTCTCAGGTCCAACGAATTTTGACATCAAGACCCAGTCGAACGCGGCCTCCAGAGCCCTCGCCGAGCGCCTCCCTCAGATCGCCTATGGGCATCGGCGCGGGTTCGCCCCGACCCGCAACTCTGGCGGGCACGTCCTAGAGCTCGACGCCGCGAGTGAGACCACTTCCATGGAGGACGACGCAGGTCGCAGGCTTCCGCTGCTGGCCGCCTTCGGCTTCGGCCAAGCGCCCCCCCCCGTCCGCCGCGCCTGGATTGCCCTGGTTCTCATGGAGCTGCGCCCCCCAAGCGGATTGGTGCAGCGATTTTGTGTTTGTCCGAAGCACAAAATATTTGATTTCGAAGTTTTTCGCTTTTTCTTTGTTCAGAAATTGTCGCGTCGCCGACCCGCTCCGATATTGGGCATTCGGCGCGCGGCTTGCGCGCAATCTCGCTGCGACGCGTCATTCGAGCGGTGTCGCCCCAGTCTGTTTCCGCCTCGTCTCCCTGCTACCATTTTTCTTTGAAGTTTAGAATCGCGTTTTAGTGTATCGTTTCAGATCGCGGCGGCCTCTTCGGGGGTCTCGTGCGCGTCGTGGGCCGTCTGGAAGCCATCGCGGGTGTCGCGGGGCGATTGTTCGACGATTCGGAGCCCTCTTGGACCGTCCTGGGCGCCTCTTGGGGCCCTTTTTGCATCGCTCTGGGGCGCCTGAAAGCAGCGCCCAGGAGAAGAACCATCTCTGGCCCGACCTGGCTGGGGCACTTTGCGTCCGGGGGCCCCTCTGGGCCGCCCCGCGCGCGCGAAGTAGGAATGCCGCGAGGCAGTCGCCGGAGATCTTCGCGCGCCTCTGGCCCGTTGGGCCGGCGAGCTTCCCCCGAGAAGCACGTCCAGTGCGCCGTGGGGCGCGCGACGAACGGGCGGGCCAATTTCGACGACTCTTTCTTTCCTCCTCTGCTGCTGCTTCCCAGTCTTCCCATTTCCGGCTGCTGCTGCTGCTGGCCTTTCTGCCGCTGCTGCCGCTCCCTCTTCTTTCTTCTTTACCG